ATCCCTTAATCATTATATAATGTTTCTCTTTATCCCTGATAATTGTCCTTGCTCTGAAGTCTGCTTTATCTGAAAGTAATGTTTAATTTCAACTCTTTTTTTAAAGATTTATTTATTTATACAAGCACTGGGTACAGTCAGAAGCACGGGAGGGTGAGAGAATTCACCAGAGCCAGAGCAGGGAACCGAACAGGCAGACTGACAAAGTACACTGCTGAGGGGAGAAGTAGGCGGGAGGAGAGGTCTGTGCGCCATGTAGGACCCTTGCCCGGCGGCAGGGGATCGAACCGGCGCTGCAGAGGCTGCGGGCAGCTTTGCAACCCAGCGCTCAACCGCTGTGCCACCGGGGAGGCCCACTGTTTATTTTAAATCTATATCTTTGTAGTTAAGTTAGATTTCTTCAAATCACATCATGGACTTGGCTGAATAGGTTGCAAGCCAGCAGCCCTACCCTCTAAAGAATAACCAGACATCACCTACAAATCAAACAGAAACATTACCATCTCATAGCTTGTGTTGCCTGAGAGGGTCAATGCATCTGTGGACCTGCAGGTCATTGGCTGTGGCTTATTGAGTTGGAGAAGCAGGGAGAGGCAAGAGTTGCAGTGGTAGCCATTGATGTTGTTGACCAAGCTGGGGGAGGACAGAGACTGTAAAGACATATAATCCTGACATCAATGAAATCTTGAATGGGGGTAGAATACTACTCTTCAGGAAGAAACTAAGAGCTGAGAGAAAATGCTGAGTCCTGGTAGGTTAGGCTGTTGGGAGCAAGTGTGACAAGTCCTCAGTTTCTTTCCCCAGGGGATTTGAGAACTTCAGAGATTGGAGTTTTGTTGGAGGCAGAATCTGGGAATACAGGTTTTTTGTATGGATAGGGACATGGTCTGGCCATAGAGACAGTGTGGAACTCTACTTGGGATTGTAGCACAAGAGTGTGATTGATATTGTCCTTCTCCTTGTTCCCTTCCCTCCGTAGCCATATAAACAAAAGAGAATCCCAACAAAAAGCCATAACATCACCTAGGGGAAAACAAATGTAGTTAACTCAAATGCAGAAGCATGAAACATGAACAGGAAAGCATTTAAAAATAACAAAAAGATGAAAATTCTTACAAAGAATCTCCAGAAATCTAACTTTTTTATCTTCAAAGATTTATTTATTTATGCATACAATAACTGGGCTCTAGGCTAGAGGATTCACCAGAGACAGAGTGGGGAGCAGAACAGGTGGACTTAACTGAAATACACTGCTGAGGGGAGCAGTGGGCCAGACAGGAGAGGTCTGCTGTGCCATTATGTGGGTTAGCTCCCTGGCCAGGGATCAAACTCATGCTGCAGTAGCTAATGATAGGTTGATAGCACTGAGACTTAACCCCTGCACCACCATGTATGCCCCAGAAATCTAATTTTTTAAAAAAGATTTAGTTATTTATTTATAAAAGAACTGGGCCAGATTCGTGGGAGGGTGAGAGGATTCGCCAGAGACAGAGCGGGGAACAGAACAGGCAGACTGATGAAATACACTGCTGAGGGGAGCAGCGGGCGCGACAGGATAGGTTTGCCATGCCATGTGGGACCCTCGCCGGCAGGCCGGGATTGAAACAGCGCTGCAGAGGCTGTGGACAGCTTCAGAGCACTGCGCTCAACCACCTGGCTACCAGGAGAGGCCCAGAAATCTAACTTTTCAAAGCACAGATTTGGAAGCTATAACAGACACAGAATTCAGAATTATAACTGAACTTAACAAAATTAAGGGATTTTAACTAAACACAGAAAAGTAGGTCTATATGCTCAGAAAAGGGGAAAGAGATACAAAAATCAAAGGAATTCTTCACCAAAGAGATCAAAGCTATAAGCATATTTCAATCAGAGATGCTGCATATGAAGAGCATCATTTATCATTTCATTCATTAAATAAAATGCTACAATGGAAAGTGTAAGAAGTAGACTCAATCTTGCAGGGGGGAAGAATTAGTGAAGATGGAGATAAAATTACAGAATGACTGAAGTGGAAGAGGAAAAAGAATTAAGATTTAGAGGGGAAAACTATGAGAAATATAAGGCTCCCACATAGTGGGTATCTCACAGAGTGAAGAAAGAGAGGGAAGCAAAGACTCTATTCAAAGAAATAACTGGGAATTTCCCAACCCAGGAAAGAACATGAATGTCCAGGAAGCTCACACAACACCCAAAATTATAAATGCAAAATACCTACAACAAAACACATTGTTAAATTATCAAAAGCACTGGTGAAGAAGAAATATTAAATGCTGCTAAGGGTGGGGGGGGAGCATATAACATACAAAGTATATATAGCATATAACATACACCTTTCATCATACTTCTCAGCAGATACTCTACAGGCAAGGAGAGCATGGAATGGAACAGTCACAGTACTAAAAGACAAAAACTACAATGTAATTCAAATATGATGGAGAAATAAAGGCTTCCCAAACAAAAACTAATATAATTTACTACCACCAGACCTGCCCTACAAGAAGGAATGATGAATGCTCTTCTACATAAAAAGGCAAATGAACACAAAACTTTGAGCAAGTAGTAATATATAATAAAAAGCATATAAAAGAGTAACATGGGCAACAAAAAAATATTAAAGAGAGAAAGAAAAGGGTGGAATCTTTAGAGTGAAGTGACAGTAACCTGATAGCAGCATAAGACTATCTTACAGATGAAAAGTTTGATACAACCCTCATAGCCGACCATGAAACAAAAATTTGGAGCAGAGATATTTAGAAGAAGAAATGAAGAACCTAAGAAAACCATGAGGGAAATCTATCCAAATGAAATGGTAGATAGAAACACATGGAAAATGAAACAACAGTAAGAAAAAACAACCAGAAAACAAAAGATTGAATGGCAGCAGTTAAACCCCAAATATCAATAATTACCCTAAATGTGAATGGTCTAAACCCTGAACAATCAAAAGACAAGTGGAAAGTTGGATAAAAAAGCACAATCCATCTATAATATGCATACAGGAGTCTTACTTCAGGTCTAAAAGACAAATATAGACTTGAAGTGAAAGGCTGGAGAAAGGGGTTTTAACACATCAACAGAGAAGAAAAAGTAGGAACTGCTGTATTTATATTTGATAATTAGATTTTAAGCCCAAAAAAGGGAATGAGTGACAAAGATGAGCACTACATAAGGATCACAGGGACAATCCATTAAGAAGATATAATTGTCATTAATATCTATGTACCCAACACACCTAAATATATAAAACAACTATTAACAGACCTAAATAAAGTAATGGATCAGATGGACTTCATAGACATATATAGAACTTTCTGTCTAAAAGAAATGAATACACATTCTTATCCAGCACACATAGACCGACCACATACTGAGAGGCAAAATCAGCCTCAATACATATATAAGAATTGAAATCATACCAAGCATCTTTTCTGAACACAATGGTAGGAAGGTAGAAATGAAACACACACACAGAGAGGAAACTGAAAAAAATCTAAATATGTGGAGACTAAACAAAACACTTCTAAATAATACTTGGGTCAATAAAGAAATCAAAGGAGTAATAAAATATCGTCTGGAAACCAATGAAAATGAATAGAGGAGGGCCTCCCTAGTGGCTCAAGTGGTTAAGATGCAACCTATGAAGCTTTCGGCAACTATTGCAGCATGAGTTCAATCCTCACCCAGGGAGTTACCCACATGGCATGGCAGACCTCTTCCTGACTCGCCCCGCTGCTCCCCTCAGTGTTATAGAGCAACCCCGATATTAAACGGGTTCCTGGCTGTGGGTCCTCACCCGCGCGCTTTAAAGGGACTTATGAATACTCTACTACAGACACACGCAAAAGGGTTAATAAAAGGTTTATTTACAAGAGAAAAAGAAATAAGGAAAATGTACAACTCAGGGAGAAAATAGGGAAATAAAGTCTTTAATGCGTCCTACCCGATCCGACGACCTGGAAACCCCAAAGTCACTCTCAGAGCTAGACGGACGCCGCGAGCTGGCCGAGGGCCCCAAAATGGAGAGACCCCCAAAGCCCACGTGTCTGCCTTTTGTATCCACCTGGCTGCTTAACCCCACCCTCAGGTCCCAGCCACCTTCCCTTTGGTGGTGATGGGATTTGGAGTTCCCAGTGTCTTTGGCTTTGACCTGGGGTGGGGGTGGAGTCCACAAAGCCTGTATGGAATTTGCTTTGGGGCAGCCTTTTCCCCCTAACACTGGGGTGGGGGTGGAGTCCACAAAGCCTGTATGGAATTAGCTTTGGGACTGCCTTTTCCCCCTAACAATTCCCCCCTTTCACTTTTTGCCACCATTTCCATGGTCTAATTGTTGCTTCTCTTACACACATTGTAACCCTGAAAAAAGACTGTCTCCTAAGATTGCACCATGACATCTGTGCCACCATAGATATGGTGGAATAAAAATTAAAAGGGGGGATTGTAACAGGGTGGTCCCCAGGAAAGGGGGAGGTTCCAGGTTCCCTGCCCCACCCAAGGGAGGGTGGAGCTGAGCAGGAAGAGGGGAAGCTGCAGAAGAGACTGAGGAAGGAAGGAGCAGGATGGAGCCAGAAGACCTGGAGGAGGTGCATGGAGCCTAGAGACACGTGAAGAAACTGCGCTTGTCTTTTGGTCATGGACTAGGTGACACAGATGTGGGTGAGACCCGTGGGGAGGTGACAATGGCAGCTTTTATCTTGATGTTGATTTTGCTCTTTTCCTTCCGGGCTTGTCTGGTTGTTTGTGACCCTTTTCTGTGGGTCCCCACTGGAAGATGCTTTAGACTTGTGGCAGGCTTTGGGGCCTTGCTCTGCGCCATTCCCATATGGATGGACTTTTACCCACGAGGGGACGGGTAACTTTGGGTGCTTAATTTAGAAACTAGATTCTTTGCCTTTCCTGTATTGTTTCCTAGTTTTATTAAAGTTCCTTCCCATTAAAGTCTCATATGTTTTGTGTTGATGCGGCGGATGGCAGAACCCATTTAGAATAGGCAGGTTTGCGGGGTTTGGGCTGCCCCTCTCCCTGTCCTATAACATCAGCAGTGTATTTCAGTCAGTCTGTTTGTTCTGTTCCCCACTCTGTCTCTGGTGAGTCCTCTCACCCCCTACACCTCTGGCCTGTACACCAGAGGTACATATTATGTATGCATAAATAAATAAATCTTTTAAAAAAGGATTTTTTAAAAAAGAAAATAAATAGAGTAACTACCAGACCGTGAAATGCAACAAATGTGCTATTAAGAGGGAGGTTTGTAGCAATACAGGCCCACATCAATAAACAAGAAAGTTTCAGTAAACATCTAAGCTTACACCTGAAGAAACTAGAAACATCCAGCCAAGTATCAGTAGAATGAAGGTAATGATGAAAATTTGAGCATAAATATAGAAAAAAAAAAAAGACACAAAAGTTAATGAAAACAAGAGTGGTTGTCTCTCTCTCTCTCTCTCTCTCTCTCTCTCAGAAAGCCTGCGCATGCGCTTTACGTGATTTGCAACATCCAGTTACTGTTGCATCAGCCTCAGCTTTGGGCGGAAGTGACTCATCTTTGGGCGGAAGCGACCACCACCCCAGGTCCCCCTGCTGGTGTAAGCCTGGTACTGACATCTCCCCCGTTTTTACTTTAGTGATGGGGGGGGACACACACTGGGCCTGTCTTAGGTTGTGGCAGTCGTACTCACGTGCTTACCCGTCATAGCCACCCACTACCAGGGTCCTAGGTAAGGTAGTGGAGCTGTGTTAGGTTGCTACATGTACACCACCATCTTACCCATCATTGGCCTACAGGTGGTCAAGGGCAATGTTTATCCACACCCTGGGATTTTCAGTGGGCTGTAATGGAGAAAAGTGCACGTTTTGGAGAGCTACTTGCAGATTTTTCGTCTATTCCACTGGCACCACAGGATGTAGAAAATGATTTCCAGGCAGAAGAGGATTGTACCTAGGAGTGATATTGCTTCCCCCAAGGATTTTGTACTGAAGCATGGATGTTGTTAATGGTTAGAATTTGATTAGCCAATTGTGCAGTAAATTGAGTAAGTTTGGTTCCACGGGCCGCGCAGGTAGGCATTAAGGGTAAGAACTTGAAAGGAATAGTTGAAAAGGATGGCAGTTGTAACACACATGAAGGCATAGGTAGGAATACAAGGGACATGAGCAGTTAAAGTCAGTAAGTCAATTTCTTCCTGTATTAAGGAAACTTGTGGATTCAGCTGGAGTAGTCCGACTGCGAGATGGTTGTTGATGGAATTTTGTGTGAGAAAGGTGCTGGAGACTCTGGAGTAGTCCGACTGCGAGATGGCTGTTGATATCTGCGTTGAGTACAAAGTTGGATAGATCTAGGCCGCCGACCACCATGGCTGCAGCTGCCAGCGTCGAGAAGATGGAGATCAAGGCGCCAACAACCAATGCCGGACCTGCTTGTCGATTTCGGATGATTACCTGAGAAGTAGACTCAAACACATTGACAGGCATAATAATGACCTTAGGGAAACGCATGACAACAAAGGAATTGCTGAGGGTTCTGGACCAACAAGAGGAAAGGTGACAGGTACAATTGAGGGAGGATTGATTGTTGAACGATAGATTGAAAAACACTATAGAAGGGAGTCCAGTGGTGGAATTGATAGACAAGAATGACAGGAGAATACCCCCCTTTCTGGAAACTGGCAGAAGGAAAGGGGGATTATTAACTATTGTCCAATGAATCATGTTGCAAAGGAGGGGGGGTGCTGGGCTGATGGCTGCAGAGCCGCCGCCATGATGGTGCCTGTAACGGTAGCCCCGTCAATATCCTTACACAAGCGTATGTACCCAGAAATATCCTGCTTATCCTTCCATGGGCGAATGGCCTCCTGGCACCATTTGTTAGCATTTTCAAATACCAATTGTTTGACTAGCATAGAGGTAGGCTCGCCCTCACCCATAATTCTAGAGGCTGCTGTTAGAAGGCGAGCTACAAAGTCAGCAAATGGCTCTGAGGGGCCCTGAAGGATTTTTGTAAGGGATTGGTGAGGCTGTCCCCTGGATCCCAGTGCCTTTCAAGCTGATTTTACAGCCAAGGCTACTTGTGCAAAAACAACAGGATTATATAAACATTGTTGCTGATTAGTACTATCATTGGGACCCTCCCCGGTTAACATTTCTTTAGTTTGTTGGGGAAAACCTCTTTGAATATTGGTTTGAGCATACTGGTCACAGAGTTCTGTAAACTGACCCTTCCACAAAAGATAATCCCCCGGGCTCAAAACCGCACGGAAAGTGTCCTTCCAGTCATTGGGTGTCATAATAAAGGTTTCAAAGGTGTCTAACATTTGGTGAACAAAAGGGCTCTGAAGTCCATAGTCTTTGATAGATTCTTTTAAGTGCTTGAGGTCTCGGAAAGGCAGTGCCGAATGTTGCCGGACCTGCTGTCCCTGATCATTTTGAACAACTGAGACCGGGCAGGCCAGAAGGGATTCCCGAGAATTTTCAGAGTTGGAGGGTACAAATCTTGAAAGAACAGAAGTTAGGGACTGTATAAGCCCAGGAAGGTCTGGGTCAGAGCCATGGGAGTTAAGTGGAGGGGCATAGGGGAGAGTGGTGGGGGAGGGATGCCACCGATTTTTGGTTGATGCATTTTTGGGTGATGGGGGTGGTCTATCATAGGGAGGTGGATAGTTTGTATTGTCCTCCACATTCCCCTCGTCTGAAGAGGAATCTACCCCGGGATTTGAGGATTGAGAAGGGGGGGTTTCTGTGGCTGAGCTTGCTGCAGCCGAGTATGTGGCAGGCTTTTTGCTTTCGGACTGAGCTGCAGAGTGCAATACCTCAGCCACTAGTTCATAAGCAGCTGCTCCCCCATCACTAAGGGCATCATGTACTAGCTGCCACACAGAAAAAATACAGGGGGGGATAGTTTGGGGTCCATAAAGGTCCCTGTAAAGAAGGAAGTCTGCTTTGACCTTTTCCCAGTTTCTTACTGAGACGGTGTCCTGCTGAAAGAACCATTTGCTGGTATTTGCGAGGACTGAGACTAGATTATGAAGGGTCTGAACCTTAATGGGAGTTCCATAATGTTTAAGGAGAAGTTGCAGGGCTCTAACAAGTTGGCCCTTGGACATGGTATTGCCCATGATGCCGATCACTTACCTAATCCTTACCTTACTGATTGATCGGTCCCTCAGAGGATCCCTCGTACTCGTGTCCCACGTTCGGGCGCCACTCGCCGGTCCTGCCTGCAGGCCGACGGGGTTCAGGAACACGGCGGAGGGGCTGGGGATGAAAAGACGCGTGCACTCTCTTGGCTGGAAGCAGGAACTCTCTTTATTTTAGGGGAGGGGCTATATCTCAGAAAGCCTGCGCATGCGCTTTACGTGGATTTGCAACATCCAGTTACTGTTGCATCAGCCTCCGCTTTGGGCGGAAGTGACTCATCTTTGGGCGGAAGCGACCACCACCCCAGGTCCCCCTGCTGGTGTAAGCCTGGTACTGACAAAACCCTAATCAAAAGGATCAGAAATGGGCCCTCCCTGGTGGCCTAGGGGTTGAGTCTCAGCGCTGTCACTGCTGTGGCTTGAGTTCAATCCCAGGCCGGGGAGCAAATCCACATAGGGCAGAACAGACCTTTCCTGTCTCGTCCACTGCTCCCCTCAGCAGTGTATTTCAGTAAATCCACCTGTTCTGCTTCCAACTCTGTCTCTGGTGAATGCTCTCATGCCCCAGGACCTCGTGTCTACGTCCCAGTTCTTCTACCAAAAAAAAAAAAAAAAAAATCAGAAATGAGACAGGTAATGCAGAAATACAAAGGATCAGAAGAGTTTGCAATTCCAAAGAGCACCTGCACCCCTATGTTTATAGCAGCACTGTTTATAATTGCTAAGCTTTGGAAACAACCCAAATGCCCAAAAATAGATGACTGGATCAAGAAGATGTGGTACATATATACCATGGAATATTACTCAGCATTCAAAAAAGATAAACACATGCAATTTGCAGCAACATGGATGGCGCTGGAAGGGATCATGCTCAGCGAAATAAGCCAGAAAGAAAAAGAAAAATACCAGATGGTCTCACTCATAGCAGGAATCTAGAAAACTTAAATAAGGGACCAGGAAAATGAATAACTACAAGAAAGTGAAAATCAAAATCAACAAAAAACTATGAACCAGAGACACTCTATGGGGGATGGGGGGGCGGGGAAGGGAGGGATTGGGGTCAAAATCAGGTGGTTGCAATTGTATGGGGAACATAAAAATAAAATTTATTAAAAAAATAAATAAATAAATATGTATTGCTTTCAGCAATAATAGCTCATTAACGTAATTTTACAAATGTTCTGAATATCTTTCAGAAAGAAAACTTTTTCAATGTAAATGTTTCTAAGCAGCAAAATAAAAACAATCTCATAATTTAACATTTAATATATAAAAATCATTGTAGATACTCAGTGAGGTCTTATAAGCAGAGAAAAAACAAATAAGAAAATTAACCATTAGAAAGTTTTGTTATGTCTATGTAAAAAGATAAAAGAATAAATGTAAAGCAATGAAAAATAATTTATGAAAAAAAAAGAAGAGTTTTCTATGAACAACTGTCTGTGAACAAACTGGACAGCCTAGAAGAAATGGATATGCTGTGCTATGTGAAAATGAGCAGAGGTAAATAGGACTTTATTTGATGTTTTTTGTATCTGGCTACAGATTAGGATGTTTTCTGGTTTATTGTTTACTGTGTGTGTCAGAGCACAAAATTTCCTCTGGGGGCCTTGTTTTTGTCTTTCCTGTCTTTGGGTTTCTCTAGGACATTCTTAAGTTAGATCTGAGATACATAGTTTTTCCATTGTATTGTCCTGTTGGTGTGCAGAAGCCTGACTGGTGTGGCTGTAAGGTGTTTGTCCTGTGTCACAAGCACTTTTCAGTTGCTTTTTCGCTTTTAGGTGATCTAGGAAGGTCAGAGGAAACAACTGTTGTGTATTTTCCTCCTCCCACAAAGAAGACTATAAGAGGTTGGAGCTTATAAGGCATTTCCTTCTGCCAGATCAGTCAGGCTGATCATAGCAAACACGATGCATCACCACAGTCGCTTGTGCTCTCCCCTACCCTGTTTGACTCCTCTCCCACCCACTCACCTGCTGGATGCCTCAGATCTATGGTCAGCTTGCAGGTTTTTCTATAGTCATCATACAAGTGAAACTATCTGATATTTCCTGTTTTCCTTCTGACTTATTTCACAGAGCACAATCTTTTCCAGCTCCATCCATGTTGCTGTAAATGGCATGAGCTTGTCTGTTTTTATTGCAGAGTGGTATTGCATTGTGTAAATATGGTCCTTCTTGACCCATTCACCTGTTTTGGGGTATTTGTGTTGTTTCCATATCTCAGCTATTGTAAATAGTGCTACAATAAATATAGAGTGCAGGTTTCTTTCTGAGTCTGTGTTTAAGTGTTCTTTGGGTAGATTCCTAGGTGTGGGGTTGCTGGATTATATGGTAGATCCATTTTTAGTGTTTTGAGGAATCTGCACACAGCTTTTCACAGTGGCTAGTCCAGTTTTCATTCCCCCAGTGGTGTAAGAGGATTTCTTTTTCACCACATCCTCACCAGCATTTCTTGTTTCAAGTTGTTTTTTTTTTTAAAAAAAATGGGCCATTCACATTGTGGTTTTCATTTGCATTTCCCTGATAATAAGTGATGAACATTTATTCATATGCCCGTTGGCCATTTGTATTTCTTTTTTGGAGAATTGTCTTTTTAGCTCTTCTGCCCATTTCTGATTGAGTTGTGCAAGCTCCTTGTAGATCTTTGATGTCAGCTCCTTATCCATTGAGTTGCACAGTGTGCAAATATATTCTCCAACTTAGCAGGGAGTCACTTCTCTATGGTCGATCCCTTGCTGTTGAGTCTCATGTGGCCCCAGCTTTTAGCATTCTCCTTTGTTTTCCTTGATCCCGGATATGAGTCCTCGGAAGGCTTATGTCATGGCGTGTTTTATCTACGTTTTCTTCCAGATATTTTAGGGTTTCAGGGCTTACATTCACCTCTTTTATCCATTTTGAGTTATTATGTGTGATGTGAAATAGTAGTTTCATTCTTCTGGATGTGGCAGTTCAGCTAATCCAGCACCATTTTTTTAAGATTTATTTTATTTATTTATGCATATAAGAGCTGGGGTGCAGGTCAGTGGTGCAGGGGGTGAGAGGATTCACCAGAGACAGTGAGGAGCAGAACAGGCAGATCTACTGAAATACACTGCTGAGGGGAGCAGCAGAAGAGGCAGGAGAGGTCTGCTCTGCCATGTGGGTCAGCTCCCTGGTCAGGGATGAAACTCGTGCTGCAGTGGCTGCCAATAGCTTCATAGTGCTGAGACTTAACCCCTTGAGCCACCAGGGAGGCCTCAAGGCACCATTTACTGAAGAGGCATTCCTTGTTCCAGTTCTTTGCTCTTTTGTTATAGATTAGTTGACCATATATATGTAGTTTTATTTCTGGACTCTTAATTTTATTCCATTGGTCTGTATATCTGTTTTTGCTCCAGCACCATGCTGTTTTTATTATTATGACTTTGAAGTATAGTTTGAAGTCTGGGTGTATGATTTTCCCCTTTTTTAGTCAAGAGAGTTTTAGCTAGTCAGGTTTTTGTGTGTGTGTGACACCATATGAATTTCAGCAATATTTGTTCCATTTCTTTTAAGAATGCCATTGAGTTTTTTTTGTAGGAATTGCATTGAATCTGTAAATTGCTTTGGGTTGGTTGGCCATTTTTATAATATTGATTCTTCTGATCCACAAGCAGAGAGTGTCTTTCCATTTTGTTGTGTCTTCTATTTCTTTTTTTTTTTTAAAGATTTATTTATTTATACAAGCACTGGGTACAGTCAGAAGCGCCGGAGGGTGAGAGAATTCACCAGAGCCAGAGCGGGGAGCAGAGCAGGCAGAAGGACCGAAGTACACTGCTGAGGGGAGCAGCGGGCGGCAGGAGAGGTCTGCGCGCCATGTGGGACCCTCCTCCGGTGGCCAGGGAGCAGCCAGGGATCGAACTGGCGCCGCAGAGGCCGCAGGCAGCTTCGCAACCCAGCGCTCAACCGCCGCACCACCGGGGAGGCCCGTCTTCTATTTCTTTTAATAATGTTTTATTAAAATTTCCTTGTATAGGTATTTCACCTTTGTAGGTTTATTCCCACGTATTTAAATTTTTTTTTTACAATCGTAAATGGGGTGCTTTTCTTAATTTCTTCCTCTTCAGACTGTTTGCATGTAGGAGAGCTACTGATCTTTATGTATTGACTTTGTAACCTGCTACTTTACTGGTTTATTGTTTTAATTAGCTTTTCTGGGGATAGTTTAGTGTTCTTTATACATACTATTATATCATCTGCAAATAATGATAACTTTACTACTTTCCCAATTTGGATTACTTTTATGTATTTCTCTTGCCTAATTTATCTAGTAAGGACTTCCAGTATTATATTGAAAAGCAGTGGTGAGAGTGGACTTCCTTGTGTTGTTTCGGATCTTAATAGAAAGGCTTTCAGTTTTTTGCTATTGAGAATGATGTTATCTGTGGATTGTCATATATGGCTTTTATTATGTTAAGATATATTCCTTTTAATCCAAGTTTTTCATGGGACTACATAATAAATAGATGTTGAACTTTATCAAATGCTTTCTTGGCATCTATTGGTATGATACTATATGTTTTCTATTTTTCTTTTTGTTGGTGTGAATTATGTCAATTGATTTTTGGATTTTTGAATCATCCCTATGTTCCTGAAATAAATCCCACTTGGTCATGGTGTATAATCCTTTTGATGCATTGTTGGATTTGATTTGCTAAGATATTTTTTTAAGATTTATTTATTCATTTTTACACTAGACCTTAATAAATTGAGAGATATGCTATGTTCATATTTCTGAAGCCTTGCTTTTTTTAAAATTTTTTTTAAAGATTTATTTATGCAAGAACCAGGGTACAGGCCAGATGTGCAGGAGGGTGAGAGGATTCACCAGAGACAGAGTGGGGAACAGAACAGGCAGATTGATGAAATACACTGCTGAGGGGAGCAGCGGGCACAACAGGAGAGGTCTGCCGTGCCATGTGGGTATCTTCCTGGCTGGCCAGGAATGGAACCCGAGCTGCAGAGGCTGCGGACAGCTTCACAGTGCTGCATTCAACCGGCTGCACAACCGGGGAGGCCCCTGATTTGCTAAGATTTTAATGAGGATTTTAGCATCTGTTTTATTTAGGGAGACTTGTCTGTAGTTTTCTTCTTTGTGTGTTGTCCTTCTTTAGTTTTGGTATTTGTGTGATGTTGGTTTTGTAAAATGTATTTGGTAGTATTCCTTCTTTCTCTACTTTTTGAGAGAGTTTTAGCAGGATAGGTATTAGTTCATCTCTGAATGTTTGTTAGACCTTGCTTGTAAAACCATCTGGCCCTGGGCTTTTGTGTTTTGGTAGGGTTTTGACTACTGTTTCAATTTCCATGCTTATAATTAAGATTATTCAAGTTTTCTATTTCTTCTTTGTTCAGCCTTGGGTAACTGTATAACAATTTGTTCTTCTCATCTAGATTACTGAACTTGGTTGCATATAAATGTTCATAGTAATGTCTAATTCTTCTCTGTATTCCTGCCATGTCTGTTTAATTTCTTCTCTTTAAATTATGATCCCATGTTTCTGAGTTTTCCCCCTCTTTTACTTGTGAGCCTGGCTAGAGTTTTGTCTCTTTTGTTTATTTCTTCAAATAACCAAC